ACCCTACCAAGTCTCATGTGGCTAGAATGAACTGCCTTGACCCATACTGTCTGGAAACTAGTAGCGGTGCATACCCAACAGAGCCCCATATACCTAGTAAAGGAACCCAATCTCGCTCTCCACATCGGTAAAGTATATCCGAAGAGACATTCCATGAAGCTTGCCACAAAATATCACCATCTCTGATATCCTTGAAGATGACCATCCATTTTTCTTCGGTGAAGCCCCCACGCCATTCTTTAGAAAGAAAATCCTTCAAAGGCGAAAACCCCTCTAGAAACACTCGTCCTGGTGCCCTTTCAACATGTTTGAAATGAATCAGAATCCAAACTAGCAGCAAAGGCGCACACCCTATAAAGCGTCATTCTCCCTCGCGCCTACAAGAACTCAAAGACCGGAACGTCTCAGCTAGAATGGCTGGAATAGGATCCACGTGCTTGTCTAATCTTTCAAACAGGTCAACGACTAATACGTCTACATATCCTAGCACCTTTGGAAAAATAACGAGCCCATAAATCCCTAAAGCAAACATGTCAAGCTTCTTTCTCTTATCAGGGTGATGAGCAATTACTTCTTTCAGAGCAGCCCAAGAGATGCACTCACTGTCTCTCTTCTTCTTAATGTTTCTGATTACCCAATCTTCACTCATTCCGATCAATAGTAATTTCTTCTTAAACGAATGAGTGACTGGCAGCTTGGTATATATTTTATCTATCTGGGACCTCGGACAAAGGACCAAAGCTTGATACTCCTTATTGTTGGTGTTAGATCCACTCTACCAAATGTGAAACAGCTATAAGCCGGATTCCAGAACTGCGCCAACGCTCTAAACAGATTTTGGTCAATAGGAACATCCAAAAGATAAGGAATATCGCCATACAACTGATAAAACATCTCCTTGTCGGTTGCTTCCCATCTTCCCCATACCTCTTTTAGTTCACTCAGATCATTCTGACGTACGTTGATGTGAGTGTAACCAAATAACTCTGACACATATCCAGGCATCACGCTGTCCCCATTGGTCAGTTGGGACTGTTCCGACCACCACAAAACATACGCATTGTCTTCAACCTCTTTCTGAACCGTTCGTTCCATATTACTGGCCTTCTATATGGATATCGATCCCAAATCAACACCATGTAATGGATATTGCAATGCAAAACAGAAAAGAAACAAGGCAAAGACAACAACAGATCGGTTAGTAAACATAAACAATTAATTCAGGATAATAATTTGTTAAAGAATCCTACCCACATGTTGGTTACCCAATCATGCTTTATCAGATCCTACCCAACATGACATCTACCTCCTTGCTTTGTTATTCACAAAAAGAAATCCTAACCGCATGATATCTAATTCGCATGCTTGGTCGAAAAATAAACCTAACCTCATTATATCTAATTCACATGCTTGTTCGAAAAATAAACCTAACCACATGATATCTAGTTCGTATGCATTTATTTGAAAAACGAAAATAAATAACTCAAAAAAAGCTTTTCCTTGTGTACCCTCCTCACGGGATTCTTAAGGTTCGGGTTTGTTTCAACCTATGTTCAGGCTCTACGTTCACTATATGCCGGGTTAGGTTCTAAAGTAATAAGTTTTCGTTTCGAAAAATTTTGAATTCCCTTTACGATCGAAAAATAAGGTTCGAAGAGTCGCCACCAATATTTGATTAGGGTGTGATTGGGCACCCAAAAATGCTTTGTCATTTTAAATAAAAATTAATTTTAATTAAAATAACAAATTGAGGTCTGCGTTACCAAAATCCGAGTTCGGGAGTCGGTTACTTGTAGGAAAGGATTAGCACCCTCACAACGCTCTAAATCGGTACCTAGTCGATTAATTAATGTCTTTGCAATGAGCTTTACAAATTCGAATTTAATTTGATTTTTGATCCCATAAAACAAAGATGTAAATTTAAAACATTCAAAAACACTCAAATAAATTAAATTAAAATTACCAAGTCATTTTAGAAAGATAAAGAATGTTCGATTATTTACAAATATCGAGACCAATCTTAAAAGTTATAATAACTTTTCTCGATAAATTTAATAAACGAACATTTCATTTTTTTCGTTCCCAAATTTTAGGTGGCGAATCAATTTTTTGGTTTCACTTTCGGATACACTTTTAATTTAAAATAGTCAAAACAACCCTCTAATCAGTTAAGACAGGCCACTCGAGAATTTAAATTAAAAGGTATTACCCTTAGTCCGATTATGTAATAGTCGAGCACGTGAGGCTATCATACAAATTATGCAAAAAGTGGATATGCCAAAATTAATTAAACAAAATTAAAAATATCATACATCGTACATACAAAAAAAACTATACATATTTTAATTTAAAAAAATAAAAATTAAACCATGCATGTTAACATATATTGTACAAATGTGACTTAAATATAAAAAACATGACATGCTAAACTATAAATTTTAAAAAAGTATGCATATACATAAAAAATGACCAAATTTAAATAAATGTAAAATTCAGCATACAAATCGAAAATAAACCAGGACTTAAATAAAAACACACGCATAACAGAGAATTTACACGTAGATAACTCAACAAAATTAAAACTAAACTGGAAAAATAACGAAATTAGGACAAACACAAAAGGTTAAATTCTAAACTAGTCCTAAAGGTGACTAAAGTGTAGATGTACGACTATAGTAAAGGGCACGAGAGAAAATTATCCTAAAGTTTCGATGGCTAAATATTAATTTATCCAAAAGCTATGATATAAAACCTATTTCACATAACCTAAACTAAATTCAATTCACGTGGACATACCCAGCCTCACACTTTCCTCTCCACTCTTCCACACACACTGCCATGAAACTCTAAACCCAAACACTCCGACTGTAATTTTAATTATGGCGATGAATTCATCTCCAAACCCCGACGCACTACAAGTTAAGCTATCAAAACCCTCTCCTTCGACTTGATTTATTTTACCCAACTAACACAACCCCTTTATTTCAACGGTGTAGACTCGAACGACTAGAAAGCAAAGTGGAAGGAAATACCACTAAAGTAAACATTTAAGCTATCTTCTTTATGCTTTCAATTTGGTTTCAGTTCAAAACACCTGAACACACAAGAAAAATATGGAAGCAATTGAGAATGGAAACTAAAAGAAAATAAAAAAATAAATACCCTTTTCGAGTATTGCTTTGGTTCGATGACAAATGGGTTGTTTCCTTTAACCTTCGAACATGAGGAAAATACCTCTCTTGTACAATGTTTTTTGTTTGTCACTTTTCTCTCCAAAAACAAAGAATCAGTGGGTCCTTTTTTGTTCACTCTATATGGCCAATAATTCTCCTCTCTTTCCGTGTGTAATCTTTTAGTGATGGTTGACCATCTTCCTTTTCTTTTTTCCTTTTTCCTTTTTAGTGCCCCCACCCCTTCAAATTTCCAGTGGTTAATTCCCCCTCAAAACTAACTCTTTACAATTTTTAATTGCCCCCAGTAACGTACTCCTCTCCACTACCAATAATGGCTCACACTTGTTAACTTCCTTCTCCTGTTTATTAACTCCTATAACCATTTTATTTTCCAGGTTTCACGTGGACTAGAGTTCACTCTGTGAGGATCATTGGATTTGAATTGAGCCTCAACCTGATTTTGTTACGGGCTAGGTTGCAATAATTCACTTATAAGCCCAAACAATATTCGAATAAAAATCCGGACAAAACGAGCATCTACAATAAGGTTTTTGTCCAATGCCACAATAAAAATATTATATCGTTCAAAGATAGACCAAGAAACCATATATGATATTCGCATATGTTAGAAAACCTCACAGACCATTATAAATAGTTGAAGCATTAAGGACAAAGGAGAACATCATATACGAATCCCAATACACTATTCAAACATGGCATTCTCAAATAGACAAGCAGAGGCAAATTTAGAATAACTTTTTGGATTGATATATATATATATATATATATATATATATATATAAAAAAAAACTAAGTATGTAAGTACAAAAAATTTAAAGTGAACCCTACTAAAAACAAATAAAATAAAATAAAAAATCAAATTTTAAAATAAACTCGTACCTATAATCAAAGATATTTGTTTATATTACCCATATATATATATATATATATATATATAGTAATTTTCCCCTCTGCTGATAAATGAATTGGTGACGTATTTGAAATGCCACCTCAAATGGCATTTGCATGCCACAAATACCAACTTTTACCGTTTCAAGGATTCTTGTCGTATAATAGCTATATAAGGTTTTGATTAATAATAATAAAAAAAAAGTTTTGATTATTATGAAAGGTAATTTTTCTAATATGGTTCTAAAGCCTTCTTACTATTATTGTTGGTGTTCTCAACAAAATGCATTCTTATAATTTTTTTATAACAGAAATGGATAATAAATTTAAATGAGAAACTATCAATTAAAATTATTTTAATAAGAAGTTTAATGTTAAAATAAATATTTTATAAATTTAAAATAGTTCATTTAATTTATTACCAAAGGACACACTTGACACTTCTATGTAATAAACATTTCATTAATTAAAAATAGTTAATTTAAACGAGTCAGTCTTTAGTTAATTTTTAGGTAAAATTACTTATTTGGTCATCCATCTATTATTTAATGTTTTGATTACTTAGTTATTATTATTTTTTAAAATCATATCTAACGTTATGTTTTAGTTCTGTTTTGATCAATCACAATTAAAAAGTTAACAGAAACATTGACATGATATTTTTTAAATTATTTTTCATTACTAACATGGTATTATCTTATGATGACACATCAATGTCATCATTAATTTTTTTATCAGCAGGTGATCAAAATAGAATTAAAATGTAATGTTAGGTCTGATTTTAAAAATATTAATTAAGTGACCAAAACAGAAAGTAAGCAATAGATAGGTGACCAAATAAGTAGTTTACTCTTAGTTTTCTTAACATAAGCACCACTCTCTTTCTTTGTTTTTATTTAAAAGAAACGGGCTCTTATGTTGAAACAAAGAAAGAAAAAACTTCATTCATAGGGCTCAGTGCGTACACCTCTTTTTATGCTGGACACCTTCATAAAGGCTCAAACTTTTTCACATTTAAAACTCAAAAGATAAACCCAGAAGTTTTGATAATTCAGATATGAAGGAAGGAAGGGCAGACCATCCAACGGCAGTCACCAGCCTCCCATCAGACACACCCTTCAGATTCTTCCACTTCCCCTCCACTCATCTTCACCATTACCTTCGTTCCATGCCCACTTGCACATCTCTTCCCCTGAATTATATGATCCATTAATCTTTAAAAACCCATATATATGTAATTAATCAACAAACCATTGTATAAAACAAATAGTGATGATGAGAAATCACCTTCAGAACACCTGCAGCAGCTAGCAGCCATTGACCTTGCCCGATCCCGGCAACCACCCTGTTTTTCTCGGCGAATTCCTTCACTAAATCGACCGCTTTGTCGTTCATTACCAGCAACTCAGGAGACCTCCCGCCCGGCAGGACGAGGCAATCGTAGTCACAAACTCTGATATCACTCCAATCGGCTGTGATGAACAAGTTATGACCACGTTTCTCGCTGAAAACTTGGGCTCCTTCGTTGTCGTGGATCGCTGCGACACATGTTTCTCCCTTCTTCTTGCTCAGGGTAACCGTATCGACCTTGCAGCCTAATGCTTGGAGTGCACGGAACGGGACATTGAATTCGTAATCTTCTACGAAGTCCTTGAAAGAAAACACGATACACGAGATCTGTGATTAGTTTTATCTATGTAACAATGTTCCTAGTGAAGAGAGCTTATCTTATTACCCCATAGGAAAAGCACTGAGTTAGCCTTGGTTGCATGAACTCGGGCTCCCATGGATTCAAACAAAGCTTTGAGAAATTCAGCATAGGCCGGCCATCCGATTGAGCTCAATATGTTTCCGTCTTTGAGACAAGCGGTAATGTCAAAAGCCGATGTAATTCCCGGTTGCTCCCACCAAATACCACCGGCCAGTTCAATCACCGGTTTCATGCTTGCAAACGCAGTGCATATCCTGCGTTTCAAAAGCCCCGCAGCCGCCAAAAGTAGTTGGCTGTGGCAACTCGTAGCAATAGGCTTCCCTGCATCAGCAAACCCTTTGACTATACTCAAGACGTTGTCGTCGACGCTGAGAAGCTCGGTGAACCGGCCTCCGGGAATAATCAGGGCGTCGTAGCATTCGACCTTCACTTTATCGAAGTTCGAATTCAGTGTAAATAAATGGCCCGGAAACTCTGAGTAGAGCTGGAAAAAGGGAAAGTAGGGTTCAAAATGAAGCAAATCATGTATATATATGATGATGAAAATATCAAATCATTTTTTTGAACCTGAAATCCTACGAAATCATGGATGGCAGTTAGGCATTTGTCACCGGGAAACTTATTGGGAGAGACACAATCAACTCTAACTCCAAAGGCTTGCAGAACAGTAAAGGAACCATCACTTCGTAGTCTTCCATGTAGTCTCCACAGATCATCAAAGCAGATTTCTCCACAACAGAGCTCATGATGTTCAAATCACTGACAGTGGCTATGCCTACCAAAATGAGACCTTGTATACATCGAGATTTAATGTGTATTTAGAGTTGGTGCACCCAAAACAAATTGAAGTAATGGGGAATCTGTGTACTGATGTCAGAAACGGAAATGGTAATAAAATAAAGATGTCATTTTCTATAATAAGGTTAATGACGGTCTTTACCAGTTCAGTTAATAAAGTAAAGCTGTCTTTTTCTCGTGAACCACTAAAGAAGACGTATACGATTCAAACTACAAATTGTGTGGATGCCACCTTTAAAATGAGTGTTAACCAATTAAGTGGTAGCTTTTTTTAATAAATAAATTAGGTTTTAAAATTAAGGTACAACATAGAATAAAAGCATGAAAAAAAAATCAAAAGCTTTCATTGAATAGATGTTTTATTCGAGTCTAGACGTAATATTGAGAAAGCATGGAGAATGATAATTAATCTGACAATTACTCTCTAAACAATTTTAAATGCATCAACAAGTTACCGTGAAAGAAATCCAACTATATAAAAACTGTTGGTCTTTCTTGATTTACAGCTGCGTCGTCATGATGAATATAACATAGAACGTTAAATTATTATAATAATAGATAAAACCTTGACACTGAAAGAAGATTAGGGAAGTATCTTACAGAGAATTAAGGTTTCTCTCTTTTCACGTACACATTAAAGTAATTGTATTCAATTCAGTTCACATAATAATTATGCATGTCTTTTAATAAGGTTTTCAACGCATTAATATAACCTTTTCGGAGTCAGGTTTTTACACAACTCTTACAATTTCCATCTTTTATTTTAACGTTCAGATCGATGAGGCATTTAAATGATGTTGATGCTTTATGGCAAACAGGAGCAGGAAGCTGAAGCAATTAAATAAGCATTTGAAACATATCAACAGATTATATATTAGTACAAATGATTTGTGTAAACATTGTATGGTAAAGATAGTGTAGTTGCCTGTTCTTCTGATGATTCTTTCCCAGTCTTTGACAATCTTAAGGTTAATGGACCCTATTGAGAACAAAAGATTAATTGGCGAGCTTTCATTTGCTGAAAAAAATGGAAAAGCTCGTCTGAGTTTAAATGACTCGATTGATAGCATACCAAATGGCTCATACACTTCTCGATTAATCCGATCTTGGTCTATTTGGGCCACTTTTATGACTATTATACATAGGTAAAAGCCACCTCGACTTGTGCTTCCGTCTGCCATAACACCGCCAATAAAGTATCCAGTGCTGCCATACAACCAACTGGAATGGCCCATCTGCAAAAGCAAATAAACACACAAGGTAAACAGGAAACAGAAAATATCGATATCCAACTTAACCCGGGAATGATAGGGGGGAAACTGGTCATTTCAACAAGCTTCGGCTAAGAATACATAGCGGAGCTATATTACCTGTCCAAATCAAGGATGGGATTGTAGACAATAGCCCAAGTGGCTACAATATAATGCCACACGGGGTTGTAGTAAAGAGACTCCGATGACCAGAACAACCTCGTATACGTCTCTAAGAAGATGAATAGTATCCATGCAGCCATTTCAACCATATGAACTTTATGATAAACCGACCGACCATCACCATGATGAAGAAAAGGCCACCAACCAATTGAAGAGCCTTTTGTATTCCTTGATGAACAAGGAACGTGACTTCCCCATCATCTGCAAAATGTATGGTACATTCGGAAACATATTATTTAGCTAATATAAAGAAAATACAATTTCTACAATTTCAATTAGAAAGCACCACAAATATATCTTTTTCCATTTAATTGATTTTTTTTTCATGTCCACCTTTGAAGGACTGAACTTATTTCGAAAGAACTGAACTTCATTAATTCAAGCATTAAAATGATTTGGACTCGTTTCAAAATGCTCTAACACACTAGATCAGTTAGATTGAATGGAACTCCTAAATATGGAAACAGAAAGGAAATAACATATGTAAGAAAAAAAGAAGTTGAATAGGGAATTGCAAAGATTCCCGATTACCTTCATCATCCGTTGCTCGTAGTTAGCTTTTAAAGGCCCAATGCACTCCCGTTCAAAGCTTTGGTTACATTGCAGGAAACCTGCATTAAATTTTGCCATAGAAGGAAGTTTGAGAACTTGAAGCTGGTCCATGTTGTCTTCACATCGGGTATATAGTTCCTCACAGACCCTTGAAGATTGATATTGATTTGCCATAAAGACATTCTTTTGTACCTGGATAAAGATTTCCAAATTAAGATGTGAGAATTACAAAAGCTATTAAAGTCTACTAGATCAGATCAGATTACATACGAGAATAACTAAAAAGGCAGGATTTATTACTCTTAAAACCCCGGGTAGACATCTACATGCCTACCATTATAAAGTGTAACAAAAAAAATGTCTTCATAAAATTTTCTGCTTGTCTATTGAGTTTCCTCCTTATCTACCGACTTACAACATCTCCTTTTCCGACCTAAAGAAGAAATTGAATTGTTGATGGAAAGAACCAGAAATTTATAACTCGGGAAAAAAACTAAATGTATGAACCGATATAAAGGGTAATGCCCTTTAAAGTTCCAGTCAATACCTCCTTGATTTCTTCATCCAGTTGCTCAAAAGATTTCTTTGCATGGTGGCGACCAAAATGTAGTCCATCAAAAGTCTTCATGCTTCCTCTCGAGACCTTTCATGGATATCTTGAAAGGACTGCTCTGGCATGGGTAAACGTAATTTTTCCATCCTTTCACCATACAGCTTTAAGCATCGCTCTACAATACCTTTATTGAAAACCTCTACAAGAGAGCCTGTTGATGGGATCTCCCCTTTATTCAAAGCTTCAAGAATCTATAAGATTAAAAATACTAAGTTGTGGACATCAACTAATCACAATCCCTAACACAACTAATTTAAGAATTCTCACAATTCATGAACTCTTAACTTATCCAAGAACAGGTCTGAGAAAACGAATAAAACTAACCTTTTCCAGGAAGGAAACAAATTCCTTTCCATTTAAAGGCTTGCCCTGCACAATCTTTGGGCGTATAACACTAGCTACAAGCTCTTTCAATTGCTCTTTTTCTTAACCATACATGGGATCAAGCTCATCATCCTTCAGGTCACAAAGCTTTGTTCGCATGAGATGAGGCTGTAAGTTCAAATTTCAATTAATTAGGTAGTAAAGGTTTAGATTTTAACAATTACCATAATTTTGGTCAACATATAACACAGATCTGCAGCAAATCAGCATATGAGTGAAAGCATACACACATCCATCATCCTAAATCTCACTGTAAGCAAGCAAAGACATCTTTGCCTTTTGTACCACCATATAAAACAAAATGCAAATATGAAATGTAGCCATGACTAAAAAAAGTCTCGTACAAATCAAGCGTCGATTTATGTACCTGATCAGAATGACAATAGCACAGGAAAGGGAGAAACGGGTAATACAAGTAAAAAGATTGAAACTCATACCTGGGGTAGGCTAAATGCGGTGCTATTATCCCCCATTACAGCTAATGAATCCCGGATCTGGTTAACCTGATAAAGTTCCAAGAACTTTGAAATTCTGATCAAGTAACATTAGTTTGTGATACCTACAAGTTAGTTCATGCAAGAAATACCTGATCAATATTCTGTCTCCTGAAAATACAAGACGTGCATCATCATCAGATTATCCCAATAATAACATCTGTCCAAAACAACTAAGGATGCTTGAGTAAACTAACCATCAGTGTTCGGGACATGTCTAAGTGGCCTCATCCACCATTTCTTTAACTGTTTTCCCTTCTGTATAAAACCCAGAAAAATGTCAGTGAATTGACCCTGAATTGTAGGGTAGAGGCAACTCTTAATGGCATCCAGAAAGGAATGCCTCCAAATCTTCCACAGATTTTCTGAGAAACTTAATATGAGTATAGTGAATGAATCCATAGCAAAGTTTAACCAGACATATACCCAAGCATTTAAAAGCAACAAGAATTTGATGAATAGAATATTTACTCGGTCGGGTGTAAGTCTTAGACAAGGTATGGTTAGATTTTTCCTTGGAAGTCATATTCCCGTATCCAAGAGTCGGACACAAGTACTTCATGAAAAATGAAGAGTCTGAGTAACATAACAAATACAAGCTAGAAAGGGATAACTCTGTTGCAATAATAATATTACAGGCAGTGCAATTGAAGCTAGCATGTCCCTGGTACATTAACGTTTAAAGTATCCGGGCCTCATGACACTTCATAAGTCATATGCTAGAAGGCAATTATGAACTTACCCAGAAAATCTCGCTGGATAAGCCACAAAAGTTTTGCAGGTTCAAAAGCAACGTCTTGCCCCTACAAAAAACTTAGTTACTCTAGAATCTCCACTGCTAAACAGCTTCATTTGTACAAACAAATGAGACAAACATTTTAGGGGGTAAGTCAAATTTACCTTCACTCTGCTCCATTATTTTTTGTCAAAAACACAACACAAGTTAGTGTCAAATTAACGAGCACTAAAATGTAAAATAGCACCAATCTTGCTCAGTGAATGTGATAAACTGATAACACTTTCAATCAGCATATGGAAGAAAAGGCAAACCTTCCATAAATTCTTCAGCAAGCTCTACAGCAAAAGACAGCCTAGATATGTCAGCCTCCCGGACCTATGACAGAATAGCACGTACAAACAAAAATGAGACAAACATTTTAGGGGGTAAGTCAAAATTTACCTTCACTCTGCTCCATTATTTTTTTGTCAAAAAACACAACACAAGTTAGTGTCAAAATTAACGAGCACTAAAATGTAAAATAGCACCAATCTTGCTCAGTGAATGTGATAAACTGATAACACTTTCAATTCAGCATATGGAAGAAAAGGCAAACCTTCCATAAAATTCTTCAGCAAGCTCTACAGCAAAAGACAGCCTAGATATGTCAGCCTCCCGGACCTAATGACAGAATAGCACAAAGATAAACCCATCAACAAAAAATCATTCCATCAAAAGCAGCTGCTAATTGAGGGCTCAAGACTTTTAGCCACATGCCAACAACCTGATGCATAGATTGTGATGCTAATTGAATGACTTAAATGCTAAAATTGACAG